ATATGTTCTTATTTGATATATGCAGCCCATGCCTTTGCTTTTTTGAGCAAGCTGACGATGCTGAGGCTGGTGGACGCCAGCTCCCTGCTGGGCATGCTCTGAAGCTGGGTGATGATGTAGAGCTCACAAATATGCTGGAGTCTCATTACTTGGTACATCTCCGCACAGATCAAGAGAGACATCGCCTGCAGAATACTGGCTGGAAAACAAGAAAGCAGAAATTCCTTGTATTTTACCTTTTTTTGACAAGACGCTCAAAGCCACTTTTTACCCAGTCATCATCTAAACAACTAACAATGAACACAAAACTGCTGCTGATCACCTTCTTTTACTTTCCATTATTATCATCATTGTAAGTTTTCCACATCATTCCCTTTTTCCAGATAAACTATTTAATTAACAGCAATGTAAGTTTTCCACATCATTCCCCTTTTCCAGATAAACTATTTAATTAACAGCAAAAGAGTACTTTTTAGAAGGTAAGTGTAATAAATTGTTAGCAATATCCTGCATCTTGAAGATGCTGAGTCAGCTGCTGCTGGTCTATTTAAAATGACAATTAATAAGGGGATTTAGCTTTCTAACTTCTCTTTTGAAAAGAACTTTTATGATACATGCACAATATAGAAAAAATGCCAAAAAAAAGAATGGAGCAATCGTATTTTTAAAAAAATATGATACAGAGGTCACCTCTTTAAACTGATGGACAAGGAAATGTTATATGGACTGAAAAGAGAAACATATGGAAAACCTAAGAATAAGGTAGGATTATCTGAAAAGAAAAGCAAAAATACATATCAAAACATCATTAATTGCATCAAAGGAAAATTATCTGTATTTATATCATATTTCATGTTTAGTATGTAGATTTCTTCTCACTAAAAAAGACAAAGGTTAAGACACAAAGAATACTTTGGCTCAATTTTTCTTGCTAAATACTCCAGTTGGTGTACCTTTTTCCCTGGTTTTACATACAAAGAAGATATCCATTCTTATAGATAAGGTATTCTTGCAATTTAACCTTCTTTATGTTAAATGTTACAAAACATATGCTAAGCCAAATGACAATTGAGAACTGGGATTAGAAAGCAGTATTATTGCTATGTAGAAATAACTGTAATTCTTAATTGTAATGGATCAGAAATGAAATTTTACGAATTTTTGAGTATTGTTATTACATAGCACAAAAAAAATGCAGAATTTTATTAGTGGTATTTGCTCTACCTGTAGTTGATTTTAACTTGAATAAAACTTGATTTCTTTTTTTAGTGCACAATACAAACAAGTTCTCTTTCTTGGGACATTATACATTAAAATATTGGCATTTATCAATAAAATAAATGCTGCTACATTGCTCTCTATCAATGCCCCACTGCGGAAAAATTAGTAACAGATATAAGTGTATTTTTAAATTTTCTTACCTGGGCAGCAGGAGTCGGTATAAAGATACTCTAGAAAGGAGAGGAAAGTGTCTTTGGAAACCCCATACACTGGAACCAGAATACTATTTGCTTCTAGATAATTACCATTAAACATAGCTGCCATTACCTCACAGCGAGCTACCAGAACTGCTCTGTGGGCTGGTACAGTTGTACCTGCAGGACACAAGATAAAAATCTGTGATGATTTTATATACAGGGAAAGATCTTGATTTTAAAGCTCAAGTTTTCTTGGAAGGCCTTCACTTCACTGAACATGATTAAGATGTTTAAAACTAACAATATCCAATAGATAACTAATAACACACTCACTTTATACTAGTCAAGGTGGCCTTGTAGCCACCATCAAACAAAAGAAATACCAAATTTATTATGATAACCTGCTCCCAGAACAAGGTGCTTCAAACAGGGCAAACTTTTTAAAGTCAGAAATGGGCTTTCAACTACTATAAAATCTGACAGATCTGGAGTCACACCAGTTTACACCAACTGAGCCACTGGCCCATTGCATAGATATGCAGTGCTGTGGATTATTATGCAAATTAGTAATTTGTCTTCATCAGTAATCCTATTGGTAACTGGTAAACACTGGAATGTGTGTTCCAGAAGTTGAACTGCCCCATAACCACACAAAGCAGAGAAAGGCAAATTATCGCAGATGAAATTCCATTAAATCCACTACACATGAATTTAACCAGATTCAGTATTTTGCTTAAGTGAATTTCATAGAATCACAGAACGGTTTGGGTTGGAAGGGAACTTCAAGCCCCCCCAGTGCCACCCCCTGCCCTGGGCAGGGACACCTCCCACCACACCAGGTCCCTCCAAGCCCCCTCCAACCTGCCCTTGAACCCCTCCAGGGATGGGGCAGCCACAGCTTCTCGGGGCAACCTGGGACAGGCTCTCACCACTCTCAGCATAAAATTTCCTGCTGGTTGTCTTAAGAAAATAATGCTGATCATTTTTTTTCAAAAAAAATTTCCATTTTGTAATATTTGCAAGTGAGTAATTTACTTTATTACAGCGTTTGGAAGACCCGGTACAGTTAACAGCCCAGGGTAGTAGAGGTCTCACGGGCTCTTAATGAAAATTCTGATGGCCAGAGGCTCCAGCCCTGACTCTTGGACCGCTGCGGGGTCCAGCAGATCTTCACAGGCCTGTGTGCAAGGAAGTGCCAAACGAGTGCCAGACAGGGCAGCAGCCAAAGACAGCGAGAACTTGCAGTCGGGTGTAAATGATTTAATCAAAGCTATAATAAACAATTCAACTGATGTGCAAGATAAATATACTGTAAATCCTTGTACAGAAGTTACCGTCTTAATTTTCTCCTTAACCACAACCCTGACACCCACCTAATTCCTTGAAGAAGCCTGGCACTTTTTCAATTTTGCTCTGTTTCTATTCACCTGTGCTTATACTTCTAAATTCTCTAAGCTGCATACAAAATGTTCTCTATTTCTGGACAGAACACGTCAATGCTATTACATATTTATGCACATAAGATGAGCAATACACAATGCAGACGTGATGTAAGATACGCATGCAGTTTTGTATGCGCATACAATTGGGTATTTTCCTGCTAATTAGGATGTTCAGTCACTTTACGGGTCTTCACACAGACATAATGGGCTCCCCCGTACTTTTGTTAGCTAGAAAGCTCAAAGCAGCTCCCAGGATTCAAGGAATTAGTTGAAGACTTAAAAATGTATTTGCTCGATCAAGACCAAAGCCTTCCATTTTTTCTTAGTAATTATTTAATTTAATACAGTTATTGTGGCTGAAGAATTAGGGGAGATGGCTTGGAAGATTCATCATGCGTTAGGAACAACAGTTCACATTTTGTCAGTGGATAAGCACAATTTTTTAAAAATACATGTCTTATTCAACAGTAACTTGTTTTTTGTTTTTTTTCTGTGGAATATATAGTGATGGTATGGTTTCATCAACTTCCCACAAAGGCTCTCTCGGGAGCGGGACACAGAGGAATTGTTCACATCGTTGCACTCAGCATCAGAACTTTGTTCTCATTTTCAAAGATCTTTTTGTTTTTTCCGCGTATTACACACAACATCTAGAAAGAATCTGCTTGGCCTCGTGCTTACTTTTGAGGGATTAATGCTTTGTATTTGGCTGTGAGATTTAAAGCTGAAAATAATTAAACAATTGTGCAATCCTCAAGGACCATTTCTGCAGGAAGGGTGGGTGAGCACAAATCGCGAAGATCATTAGCATTTAAAAACTGTCTCATTCTTGCTCTCACAAAAGCATATGATGCTTTTGCTTTATTTTTAAGGGTGAATGCTTTTAATTTCCAGAAAACAAAAAATCACCCCTACCACCAGCAACCTTCAGAACTTCCCTCTCTGTTACAGACAAGTCAGCACAGAAAGCCAGCCTCTGGTCACCCACTTCTTTTCAATTCTGGCCACAAAGAGTTCTAGGTAATTACCATCATCTCAACAGACTTTTCTTTTTTTTTAACAAAACCCCAATAATATATATGTTTCCTTTCACACTCGTAGGGTCAAACAATAGGCAGGTCTAACCTAGGCATCTGCAAGGCTGGAGGTATCTTTCATAAGGAGTCACCTATCATACAGAAGTTGCAGAGACCTGTGACAGAAACATGAAGATCAGTATGGGAGCACCTAGAAGGGCAGTAAAACATAGCAGGTGTTGGTGGCACCTTGATCAGCAGGTCATCAAAACCCCAGCACATCTACGTGCATCTCTAGGGATGCCCATGCTGGGGGAAGAAGGGCAGTGAATAAAGCCTATAAAGGCAGAGGAGTGGGACACACACCTAAGGAGCAGGAAGGGTGGCCGACACACCAGAAAGCTGTGCTGCCATTCAGCAAGACCTGGACAGGCTGGAGAGCTGGGTGGAGAGGAACCTCATGAAGTTCAACAAGGACAAGTGTAGGGTGCTGCACCTGAGGAGGAATAACCCCCTGCACTAGGACAGGTTGGGGGTGACCCGCTGGAGAGCAGCTCCGCAGAGAGAGACCTGGGAGTCCTGGTGGACAAAAAATTGCCCATGAGCCAGAAATGTGCCCTGGTGGCCAAGAAGGCCAATAGTCTCCTGGGGGTCATTAAGAAAAGCATAGGCAGCAGGTGGAGGTAGGCCATATGAGGGTGGTGAGACACTGGAACAGGTTGCCCAGGGAAGGTGTGGATGCCCCATCCCTGGAAGTGTTCAAGGCCAGGCTGGATGGGGCCTTGAGCAACCTGCTCGAGTGGGAGGTGTCCCTGCCCATGGCAGGGGGGTTGGAACTCCATGATCTTGGAGGTCCCTTCCAACCCTATCCATTCTATCATTCGATGAAATCTTGTTCAAAGGCAGTTGCATTCCCCATCCCAGGCTCTGGCCGAGCCGGGTTGGGGCCCAAGGGCTCCGCCCGTTGCCGGTGGTGCCTGTGATGCGCTCCGGCCCCTGGGACACCACGGGGGATGCGTCACAATGGGGGGGGGCTATAAAGGGGCCACAGCAGGCAGCTGGCCCAGTACGGCCTGCGCCGGCGGTGAGTGAGCTCGCAGCTCTCTCGCTACTCCTTGTGGGCCATGGCTTGGAGAAGAGTCTATGCACTGCTCTTGTTGTGCATCATCCGGCTCCTGCCCATGGTTGGCAACGAGCAGGGTGAGGCCATCCAGGCTGGCGTACAGCAGCCTGTGGAGCTGCCAAACACGGACATGACTGGTCTGCTGGAAAAGGTGGATGAGATGGACCCGATTTTGGAGGAGACGGAACCGGTGCTGGAGGAGAGCGACTTTTCCTGGGGAGCCCTCCTCTTTGCTCCTCTGGAACAATGGCACTTCTGGGTGGTTGCGGTAGGACTGGCGCTGCTCGTCGCACTCTGCTTGGGGCTCTGGAGAAGGACCCGTGCTCCAGACAGCGGTGATGAGCGGGACAGGTCTGTCACCATCACGGAGGAGGAGGACAAAGAAAGTGAAGATGATTTCTATGCGGAGGAGCGGCTGGGCAGGGAGAAGATCCGGCGCTCAGCGCGGAGCCTGGCCTGCAGGAGACAGGAGGTGGAGACGGTGGTGGGCAATGTCCTCGGTGTCCTCCAGGAGCGCCTGTCCCACAGCTTCTTCCTGGTGCCGCAGGCAGCCATCGGGGTGGGCAGCGCCTTTGAAGGCTGGAGTCCCTGTGGGCCTGACGCTGTGTTCCGGCTGCTGGTGCCCCTGAAACCCTCCCGGGGACATGCCTTCCAGCTGGAGCTGGGCCCTGCAGGAGACACAGCGGCAAAGCACCGTGTCCGCGTGGACCTGGCGTGCACCTGCTCGAAGGAGGCCCGTGGGGAGGAGGCCATGCTGTGCTTCGTCCACCAGCCCTATGAGGCGCTGGAGAGAGATCAGGACTCCGGCCTCCTGTGCCAGCTCTGCACCGGCCGCTACCTGGATGCGCAGAAGATCGCCCGCTGGTTCCAGGAGCTGGTGAGCTCAGCCTGGGAGGAGATGGGTCTTGGGCGTCGCTACCGGCTGAGGGTGCTGCCTTCCCGCCGCTCCTGCAAGCTGGAGCTGACAGGGGCCTCCGGGAGATCCGTCGTCGTGGAGCTGCTCTTCGGGGTGCAGCGAGGCGAGTCGGACCTCTTCCTGAGCAGCCAGGCTCCAGAGGCCATCTTCACGCCGGGCATCATGTGGACAGAGAGCTCCGCTGTGGCAGAGGCCAAGTTCTTCAGCCACGTGGCCAGGCAGGCCCTGCCTGACAGCCTCCACCTCCAATGCCTGCAGCTCCTCACCGGCAGCCTGGGAGGCACGGTCCTTTCCTCCTACACCTTCAAGACGGCCATGATGCACCTCCTCAACCTGTGCCCCGGGACAAGCGTGCCATTCACCCTCCAGCTGCAGGACGTCATGGACTACCTGCGCAGCTGCCTGGAGGAGAAGCGCCTCCATCACTTCGTCTTTGGCAACGAGTGCTTGCCCGAGGCCATCGTCTTGCCCCCAGCCACCCAGCCAGCTGAGCCAGTCAACCTCTTCCAGTGCCTGGTGGAGGATCCAGAAGCCCACGCCAAGGCACTGCGGGAGTTCCAGGAGCTGCAAGGTCGGCTCACGGGCCTCCTGCTCTTTGGAGCCTGAAAGAGGTTCTCACCTCTGGCAGCACCTGCGTGGTTGTGTCCCCTGGGGCTCTGCCTGCTGTCTGCCGGAGGGCCCCTTCTCCCTGGGACCTTCTGCCCTTTGTACATAGTTGTCAATACACGGTGTCTTGCACAAAAAGCTGCGTCTCTGAGTGTGTGTGCACCGTTCCTGGGGGGAAGGCGGGCATCGGGTGTGGACTGCTCGGCCACCTGAGGGTAGGAAGAAGCCCCTGCCCCAGTCCAGGTTGGGGGCTGAGCTGCTGGAGAGCAGCTCTGAGGAGAAAGACCTGGGAGTCCTGGTGGACAATAGGATGCCCATGAGGCAGCCCTGGGGCCTTGTGGCCAAGAAGGCCAATGGCATCCTGGGAGGGCATCAGGAAGAGTGTGGCCAGCAGGTGGAGGGAGGTCATCCTGCCCCTCTGCTCTGCTCTGCCCTGGGGAGGCCCCATCTGGAGTCCCACTGGGTCCAGTTCTGGGCTCCCCAGTTGCAGAAGGACAGGGAACTGCTGGAGAGAGTCCAGTGGAGGCCACAAGGATGATGGGGGACTGGAGCATCTCTCTGCTAAGGAAAGGCTGAGGGACCTGGGGCTGTTCAGCTGGAGAAGAGAAGACTGAGAGGGGATCTCATTGATGCTGAGCAATAGCTAAAGGGCAGGTGTTAAGAGGATGGGGCCAGAATCTTCTCGGTGATGCCCAGAACAGGATGTGGAACATGGAAAATTCCATCTGAACACGATGAAAAACACCTTTCCTTTGAGGGTGGCAGAGCCCTGGAACAGGCTGCCCAGAGAGGGTGTGGAGTCTCCATCTCTGGAGATACTCAAAATGTTCTGGTCCAACCTGCTCTGGGTGACCCTGCTCTGGCAGGGAGTTGGACTGGATGGTCTCCAGAGGCTGTGTGGTCTCCCTGCCAACCTCTGCCAGCCTGGGATTCTGGGATTCTGTGACACAAGTCCCAGTCAGTTTCTAGAAGGCAGAGAAAGGCACATCCCGATACCTGAGATGGGCAGAGGTAAGGTGGTAAGGAGTCAATAACCAGCATCTTTGGTCTTTTCGCTCAGGGTGAGTGTAGACGTGGCCACCAGAGTCCATGCCTCTCCAAGGTCTGATGCTCAGCAGAGCCCTCAGACATGTCCCTGTGCTTGTACAGGTGGGAAGGGGAGCAAGATAAATAGGTTTTAAGATAAAATCACCATCCCCTGTGATGCAATCCCTGGTTTAGCCTTGGTGCTACACCATCACAGCAGCCTTTCCTGAGAATCAGAGAGGCACAAAGTCTGCCGTGGTGGGCAGAGTGCACTCCTGGGGCTCAGCCCTGATAAACCACCTCGGAGTGGACGCTGCTGTGAAGAGTTCAAAGGGACAAACCTCAGCCCTAAGCAAAAAACCTGTTTTTCACGGTGACGACAATGACCAAAGTGCATATGCTGCCTTAATTCTGATGGAACAGAAAATAGGGCCACCTCCATTTCCCCGTCTCCAGACGCAGCGGTGCCCGCCTCGGCCGCCACGGAGGTACCGTACCTTGTATTTTGAAGATGACATCAGCAAGGACAGGCGTGTTAAAGAACAGCCTGAGGGAAGTGTTACACAGCCGCTTTATCTGGTGAGATCTGCAGTCCTTTACAGTGCCTGGCTGCAAAATAAGTGATTAATAAGATAAATTATTACATAATAAATTATTAATAACACACTGTCGTGTACAGCTGCCCAGGGAACTAAAGATGGCAAGGCATCATTTATTCGGGGAAACTAAACAACAGCTTTCTGCTTTATGTTTTTTTGCCAATGCTACCCAGCTGTGCCTCTCTCAGGTGTGACCCTCTACAACCATCTCTATCACTTATTTCCCTATTTCCCACAACACAGCAGCTCTGGGGCATCCTGTCTCCTCCACTTGCATCCCAGCTCTCTCCTGGGCTCCCTGACCTGCGAGAGGACCCCCCCGTCCTGCACCTCCGGGCAGGTCTGACTCCATCACCAGTTTCCTGGACTACAGACTTTTCCATACATGCCCCGTTTGGACCTGAGGCTGCAGGAACACAAGGTTTGAGGGCTCCCGGGGGAAACACGTTGTGTATTTCTTGGTGTTGCCCCGATATTGGCTCCAGAGAGGCGGGGGGAGCTCAGAGGTGTTCAGTTCTGGCCCCTCTCACCACAAGAAGGACTTTGAGGTGCGGGAGCATGTCCTGAGGAGAGCCACCAAGCTGGGGACGGGTCTGGAGAACAAGTCCTACGAGGAGAGGCTGAGGGAACTGGGCATGTTGAGTTTGGAGAAGAGGAGGCTGAGGGGAGACCTCATTGCCCTCTACAGCTCCCTGAAAGGAGGGTGTAGAGAGGTGGGGGTTGGCCTCTTCTCCCAAGGAAATCATGGCAGGAGCAGAGGAAATGGTCTGAAGTTGGGGCAGGGCAGGTTTAGATTAGATCTGAGGAAGAATGACTTTCCTGAGAGGGTGGTCAGGCCCTGGAACGGCCTGCCCAGGGAGGTGGTGGAGTCACCATCCCTGGAGGGCTTTAAGAAACGTGTAGACGTGGCACTTCAGGGCATGCTCTGGTGCCCGAGATTGTTGGGTTGGGTGGGGTTTTTTCTGTGCATATGGTTGGACTTGACGATCTCAAAAGTTCCTTCCAACCATGGAGATTCTGTAATTCTCTTACAATACTCCTGGCATGCATCAAGACCCTCCAAACCCCAGTACTTCCAGTTTTGTTTTTCTTACTTTAGAAATGGAATCTAAAGCTACCAAAAGAAACAACATCAAAATCACATTGGGAGATTATCAGAAGTGAAATTCAGATGAGGTTTGATTTATGGTTAAAATTTTATCTAATTTATATAACTAATTTTTATCAAGAAAACCACAATTCATTCCCAGTCTTTGTGTCTTCAAAGAACTTTTAAGTCTGAAATAAATGTATCCCAAAGGGATTTAAAAAACCCAGAAGAAACAAAAACAACTCAGGCTTATTATCTTAAAAGTTTTCAGGACTTTCTAAGTCCAACCCTATGAATGTTTTAAGTGTCGACACTTAGGACTACTGAGCCTACAAATGAGCATTGAGAAGCTTAAAACAGCTAAGAAACTTTTTGATCCCTACATTATGTTATCTCAAGACAGTCCGAGATGACTTCCCACCTAAATTGAGAGAAATACTTTGTGCGAGTTCTGTGGTACCAGGGAATGTATCTGCTTTGCTCCATTTGCTCTATCAGCAAACGGCTGTTAAAGCTAATTCTGTACTGTAACTTTTTATTAACATAATAATATGATATAAATTACATTTTACTGTGAAGCCATATGCTGAATGACATATATTGGGCTATAGACAGATATTCACATCACAACACTTAGGAGAGAAACCACCTCTCCCGATCTACTGCAGAAGCATAACTTTTGGCACGTACTCAGGAAAACAAAGCTTTCCGAGGCAGCCTCTATTACACGAGAATTAGCAACACATAATCATATTGTTAGACAAAGTGCAAAGCTGTGAAAATGAGTAATCCTTTTAGGAAACCTACTTGTGTGCTTTTTACCAATTACATTAATTCCACACATTAGATCAGCCTCTCTGTGTTTCTATTTCATACGCGCCTGTGAACCGCCCACTGAGAAAGTAATGAAAGCTGCGTGAGCCAAAGCCAGTTCAAAACAAAGACCAACATGGAAATCTTGTGTACGAAACAATTTCCCAAGAACTTAAGGAACTAACACTAACAGTTACCCCAAGAGGGCTAGATGTACCTTCCCTGGAGTTTTCAGGATGCATTTAACTTTCTCAAGCACATGTTCAGTTTTTTCTGGATCCTTCAACTTATTTTTTATATCCTCTTCTAATCGTTCCCAGTGGAGAGCACCTGAAAAAAAAACCACAAGATCAGGAAAATTGGATTGTGAATCAGCAGGGCACAGGCCTTAGCAAAAGACAAAAGACGCTATCAATGCCAAACACATTCTTCAGAAACTCCTATTTTTTGCTCAGAAATAAGCCAGATCTTCATGTCTAGGAAGGACAAGATGCAATTCTTGCATAAAAAAACCCCAAACCCTTCCATGAGACTGTTGTAAGAATGCAATCAAGTACAGGTTGATCGGGGCACCTCTCTTGCTTTCCAAATCAATTTCTGGCTTCCTTCCTGTTCAATCACTGCATATTGCAGGTAGACATTCAGAAAAAAAGCCCTGAATGTTTCAATATTCATGGAAGTTCTTTAGTTTCTGCTCATTTTGCTGGCTGCATTGCTTTGAAGGTGTCTGAACCAGGAAAGCTTCACGCACAGCTATATTCTGAATGCTGGTAGCCAAAACCAGCACAAAGTTTGCAGTGGGATTTCTTTTTTTTCATTATTGTTTTTAGAGTCAGAGCCATGACATTCTCTCAGGCCTCTCAATAGCTTTCTTGGAACTACTACAGGTTTTGGCCAGCATTAAACCCAACCTAATTTATCCTTACACGTTTTGCTGGAGTAAGTCCTAAAGACACCGTAGGGCTTTTTCATAGAATCACATGGGGTTGGAAGGGACCTCTGGAGACCACCCAGTCCAATCCCCTGCCAGAGCAGGTCCACCCAGAGCAGGTCCCACAGGAACGTGTCCAGGTAAGTTTTGAATGTCTCCAGAGAAGGAGACTCTGCCACCTCCCTGGACAGCCTCTTCCAGAGCTCTGCCACCCTCACAGGAAAGAAGTTCCTCCTCATGTTTAGATAGAACTTCTTATATTCAAGTTTGTGCCCATTCCCTCTTGTCCTGTCACTGGGCACCACTGAAAAAAGACTGGCCCCATCCTCCTGACACCCACCCTTTCAGTATTTATAGGTGTTGATCACATCCCCCCTCAGTCTTCTCCAGACTAAAAAGACTCAAGACCCTCAGCCTTTCCTTAGTCCTTCCTCTAATTAGCCTTGTAGCCCTCTGCTGTCCCCTCTCCAGCAGCTCCCTGTCCTTCTTGAACTGGAGAGCCCACAACTGGTCCCAGTGCTCCAGATGGGGCCTCCCCAGGGCAGAGTAGAGGGGCAGGATGACCTCCCTCCACCTGCTGGTCACACTCTTCCTGATGCAAAAGCTTCCAAAGTTTTTGGTAACTTTCACCTCTGATTCCCGGTGCCAAGCATCAAGGAAGAGTCAGAGATGGATAAAGCTCAGGTTGAAGCATGAGTCAGCCCGGACCTGGTAGAATTTTGCTGTGGAAAAGGCTGAAACAGCACACATGGCGTACGGCGTCTTCAGCTCTACCACCTCCTGCATGTACTATAGGGATGGTGAGTGTTTATAACTTCATGGGCACAACATCATGGTCCTGAGAGGCTGAAAATGGTGACACTGCTCATGACTTCTCGGTCCATGCCTGAAGTGTCTCCAAAAGACCGCATCCCCTCCCAGAGGTACCAAACGGTGCAATGACTTCTGCAGTGTCCTTCAGGTGGGGAGCTGGGACCGAGAGCAGTTCCAGCTACTGCTGTGGAGTTTCCCACCTCTTTGGCTGACACAAGCAAAAATAAAATTAATAACCACAGAAGGCACCAGATGCGCTTATCACCTACTGAAATTCTGGGTTTAAGCCACTCTTCATGTCACCAATAAATGAAAAAAAAAATCAATCCAGTCATGCTGAAAAACTTCTACATCTTTTCTTCATGTTTTTTTTGGAAAGAACTGAAAGGGATGTTCTCATCAACAAACTGTAACTGAAAATTGAAAGAATCTCCTTTGTGTCTCAACAAGCTAGTGTTCATGTCTCAGCTAGTGAGGCAGAAATCCTCTTCACGTGCCAGGCAGGCATCAGTCTACAGGGACTGACTAAGCTCTGAATGGATGCAGATCCAACAACAGAATTATCTGGGGCCTTTTTTTTTTTTTTAATTTACAGTTAAAATCACAATGCATCATTAAAAAGCCGTTTAATTCTTTCAGCAAATATAAAATGTGTGTTCTTATATACTGACAGTTTGCAAAATATTTTGTAAAGAACAAGAGGTATCAGGTACTTCCAAAAGAAAAAACAATT